CTATGGGAAAATAAATTAAATTTTTCGGCCCTAAACAAATTTTGTGACGAAGACTACCCCTGTCTGTTAAACTTCCTAATCTTGATGGCAAAGAAATATATACTTGTACATGTACATGTATATCAGTGTTGGTATAGAAAACAAAATTTAAAATTTATGGCTTATAAAAGGTATGTTCAATACTTCCGAGAGATGTAATATAATAGTGCCTCCAGGAGAAAAAAGCAGAACTCTCACATCAAGAAGTGGGATAAATAGGCTCTGGGTTTATTTTGAAGCTGTGATCTAGCCAAGAATAATACTCTTACAATGTGTTCAGTATGGTACTCAGATATCCCACTATTCACAGATCATGAATCAACCTTTCCTGGCATTGGCAACAGAAACGTGACATACAAAATCACCAAAATCTGTTGAGATACCATGTATGTTTCCATCCTTTTTTTCTATAGAACACTATAAAACTAATTTGAATATAAACAATAGAATCAACAACACATCAATTAATATCATGTATGCCCAAGAATTTTACCCTTGCACTACAACTACATTATAGCAAAGCTAACAATGCATTTACGTACCGCTAACATTTTGTACTATAGTACAGATTGACTGATAGGACTGACTTACTTTGGAACAGATTCAAATTCCTCCATAGTTATGTAATTCATCTTGGGTATGTTAACTTGTTTTTTTTTCTTCATTTTTGATGTTACTTCCTCTGGAGTTACTTGACTTATCTGACTTGATTGTTCCACAAGCTTACTTCCTCTATGAACAATAAATTCATTCTTAATTAGAGCAATAAAACATGAATCAGTTACAGAACCACAATTGTTGCATCGCATCATGTTCGATAAATGTCCTTTGGTGTTCAATACCAGACCCTCGGTGTTCAATATGGGTCCCTTTGTGTTCAATACCATACCCTTTGTGTTCAATATGGGTCCCTTTGTGTTCAAAATTGATCACTTTGTGTTCAATACCAGACGCTTTGTGTTCAATATTGGTCACTTCGTGTTCAATACCAGACTCTTTGTGTTCAATATTGGTCACTTTGTGTTCAATATGGGTGCCTTTGTGTTCAATATGGGTGACTTTGTGTTCAATATGGGTTC